TCAGTTAGCCGTCAACCGCTTAACCGTTGTGCCACCAGAACTCCTGATTATGTCACTATATGAAGAAAAAGTATTTGCTAAAATTCCAATCCATCATTGAAAAACAGACATAAACAGCATCATAGATGTAGAACAGAACTGATCAGTCTTGATTTCAAAATTAATGTGAAGGGGAAAGGGTCAAAACTGGCCAGTACAATTTTGAAAAGGAATGAACTTGAGAGACAAATCCTACCAGATAAACAGATAAAAACCAAAGGACACACAAATAGAAAGATGATATATGACAGAAGTATCTCTGTTAAATTATGAGAGGGGGGTAAAAAGGGACCATTCAGATGAGTATCATGGGGTAAATTATTACCACAATGGGAAAAGGAAAGGAGACAAAAAACAAAGATCCCAACGTCACATCTTTTAAGAAGTAATTTCCAGAAAGCTTAAGGCCTGCATTTAGGAAAGCAAGCTTTAAAATAAATTTGAAGAAAATACAGATTATCTTTATGATTGTAGTGCAGAGATGGGGTTCATAAACAAAATTTATACATTTAATGATGTTAACAATTTATGTATAATAAAAGACTATGAAAATGAAACAATAAGCAGACGACAGAAAGATGTTTCTAATGCATATTATCAGTATATGGTTAATGTCCAGAATATAAGAAAAATAAGAAGGCAAATTGTTTAATACAAAAATAGACAAAATATATGTAGACAACTTATAGAATAGTGTATTATCATATTTTTTAAATGCTCAACATCATTTGTAATCAGGAAATTGTAAAGTAGAACAACAAAATATCAACTCATACCTATTAAAATTGTTTAATTAAGACATCTGAACCATACCAAAAGGAGCTCTGATAGAGTAGTGGTTACAAGTCGGGCTGCCAACCGGAAGGTCAGCAGCTCAAAACTACCAGTGGTTCCATGGGAAAAAGATGAGACGTTCTGCTCCCGTAAAGATTTACAGGCTCGGAAACCCTGTGCAGAGTCACTATGAATCGGAACCGACTCTAGGGTACTTAACAACAACAACAACAACCATACCAAGAGGAGGCTGTGGCTCCATACAATAAACACTACTTCAAACCACAGCTAGCCAGACGCTCCGTTGGAGAAAAATGAGCCTTTTCGCTCCCACAAAGATCTAAAGCCTCAGAAACCTTATACAGGGTTATTATGATTCAAACCGACTCCATGACGCTTGACAACAACAACTATAATACCAAGAGTTGATTAATTGTGAAACAGTGGGAACCCTTATTTACTGCAGATAGGAGTATCTACTGATTTAGAAAGAAAATGGAAACATTTTTAAAAGTTGAAGTAGGTAGTATATCCATGACCCAACCAACTACTTCTAGATGATGAGCAAGAATGTTCATTGCAATTTATAATAATGAAATACTGGAAGCAACCTAACTGTCCATCAACAAAATAAGGAATCAATATATTATGTATTTACATGTAATGGGATAGTAAATAGCAGTTAAAATGGATAAATTAACTTAATAAATATGAAAACATAAATTGGGATGTTGGTAAAAGGAGATGGGGATAACTCTTGTGGTTCAATAGTGAATAATTGCTATCAGGACTGATTGTGAATGTTGCAAATGTAAAGGTAAATGTTTTGGAACAAAAGGAAGGGAGTGGTTGATCTTGTAGACCAGGAGCGGAGGACCGTAGGACCATCAAGGAAGAAGAGCAGAGCTCAGGACCCTACCAGGAAAAGCAGTGATGCCAGAGATGGAGGCAGAGATGATGACATGGAGAGATGGAGCAGCTGGGGACTCTGGACTCAGGGAGGGAGAGGGGCTGTGTGCTGGTGACTAGGGGGGCAGGCATGCAGGGTGTACCCTTTGGTTGTTTGAATGGTTATATATTCCTGAGTGCTTCAGTGTACATCCAAAAAAAGGAAAAATACAGAGGGAATAGAAGCAAAATGCTGTTGAACGATGAAGGGGATTGTAATCATTGCAATGAAATGAAATACCATAGGATGAATGTAAAGCTGATGTTCTCCCATGTAAACTATCACTCAATTCACAACAAAAACTTAAAATAATAATAATTTGGGGGTAAAAAACAAACTTCAGAGTGACACATATGCATACTTAGATATAGCAGCAACATTACAATTACTTAGGAATCCATGTATATGTGGTGGTGGTAGCGGCTATGTGCCAGGGAGTCCATTTCTACTAGCAAGTCTTTATGGGACCAGGCTGCAAATCTTTATGGGACCAGAAACCTTCATCTTTCTCCTTCAGAGCAGCTGATCTTTCAGTTAGCAGCCCAACTCGTAACCAAGTCCACTACCAGAGCTCCTCCATGTATATGTGTGGTATAGTGTAGTAGTGACATAAATAAATGAGGTTATAGGTGGTGGTGGTATAGGAATTCCAAGAGAAAAAGCCTCATCTTTGTCCTGCTTCCACAGCGTGGCTATAGATTCAAACTGCTGACCTTGCAATTAGCCGCCTAGCCTGTAATCCACTCCACTATCAGGACCCCTCCCTGTATATGAAGTAAAATATAAAATCATGAAAGGGAATGATAATGTCAAATTTAGAACAGTGATTGCCGTGGCGGGAGGGAAGAAAATAGGACCAGGGAGTAATAAAAGAGGGCTGTAGCTTTCATCTGAAGTCCTTGAGTAGTGCACACAGTAAGCATACTCGGCTGCTAGCCAAAAAGGTTCAAGTCTACCCAGAGTAACTTGAAAGAAAGGCTTGGTGATCTACTTATGAAAATTCAGCTACTGAAATCCCTGAGGAGCACAGTTCTACTCTGACATGCATCAAGCTGGAATCAGCTCCACAGCAACTGCTTTCGTTTTATCAATACTGTCTCAAAAACAAAATTCTTTTTTTAATATGACAAATTGTTGTTGGTGGTACATGAGGTGGTACATATTCCTCACTGTACTTTTCTTGCTTATAATTTTTTTAAATGGAAGTTAGCAATATTCTTTTAAATGCAAAAGGTAGGAAGGTAGCTTGTTTTGGAGGAGGACCAGGAACTGATGAGGACATTCCCATATAAGTCTCTAGCATCATCTGCACTAAAGTACTAACACAGTCTGTGTTTGGAAAAGATCCAGTTTGGAAAGAGAAATGAGTTATGACTTCCAGTACTAGATGGGGAGAAGGACAAACTATCATGACTTCTTCCTACCCCTTCTTTCCTCCCAACTATTCTCCCAAAGTCTTTCTCCCTCCATCTATGTCCTCTTCCTCCTGAGAACAGTACTCAAAAGTCAATGCTGCCTCATTTTAGACAGAAATATAAAATCACATGGCTCTGTCCTCTGCTATCCCCAGAAAGAGATTTCCTCCAAGCATTGAGTGAAACAAAGTTCCTGATTTTGTACAATTGACCACATACCAGGGATTTCTATTTAAAGGCAGTAGAAAGATATTAGAAATACAGGTAGACACGTAAATTCTATTAACCCTATTTGGTCACTAAATTATTGTTGAGCCTTAAACAAGGGAGAATTATGTGGCACTGTGGGATAATGCACTGGACTGCAAGGTCAGTTTGAACTGCAAGGTCAGTGGTTCAAGCTCACCAGCCGCTCCTCAGAAACCCTATACAGGGTCGCTATGAGTCAGAACTGACTCGAGGGCACTTAGCAACAACAACTGTAATAGTTAAATTATTTTTATTTTTAATATTTGATAAAATCATGTACAATTCTTTTCTTACATTCTTGAATATATTCCTATGTTTTTGACAATATTTCTAATATAGTGATAATTTCTAATAATAAATTCTATTATTAGATTTCTCTCTATGAATAGAATTCTCACCCATGTAAGTACAGAAGACTGCTTGTGGTATATTCAGAAATGCTACCTAACTAAATGCAAAAGAGAATGGAATTTCAACAATTAAATTTTCTGAGGCAATATAAACATCACTTAAGTATTTCATTTGGAATAGAGTTTTTAATCTGGTAAAAAATTCAAGTAATCCAAATACAAAATAATTCTTCACATACATTGTCCTGTAGCCCTGCCCCCCAAAGGCAACCATTGTTATAAATAGCTATGTGTTTTTTCCAAGATATGCAAGAATATCAAATATATCAAGTTAAATATTTTATCCACAATTGTATGGACTCTAAAACAGAACAGATTGTACACAAGCTATAAATTGTTGCTTTTTAAATCAGCCCTAAATTTTAGCTAGATCTGAAATGTTCCAAGAGGCTGTCCAATTAACATTTTGCTAGCTTCGCTAAAATGTGATAGGAAATAGAGTTCCATACAGGATGTATAATGTCAATGTGCAATGTTTGCATTAGCTGATTGTTTTTGTTGTTGTTGTTGTTTTATTGTAGTATTATAATATGTATTTTATGTATATATACATATTTATAAGGAGCTCTGGTAGCATAGTGGTTACGAATCAGGCTGCAAACCATAAGGTCAGCACTTCGAAACTACCAGCTGTTCCGCGGAAGAAAGATGAGGCTTTTTGCTCCTGTAAAGATTGACAGCCTTGGAAACCCTGTACAGGGTCGCTATGATTCGGTTCCGAATCCACAGCACATAACCACCACCACCACCATACATATTTATATGCATATATATATATACAATATTTGCCAAATCAAAATTGTTTACACATACAATTCAGTGACATTGATTACATTCATTATGTTGTTAAACCATCATGACTATTGGATTCCAAATTATTCCACCACCATTAACAGAACCTCTGCTATTAAGGAAGAGTCCATTTCCCCCTCCCTCCAACCCCTGATAAGTATTAACATTGGTCACTATACATTTGTCTTTTGTGACTGGCTTATTTCACTCAGCATAATGTTTTCAAAGTTAAAGCTGATTACTTTTTAACCCAACATATTTGCTATTTCTAAAAGATGGAAAGGATTTTCTCATACTTTTTTATTTTTCTAAACCTGTATAATGAAATCAGTTTCTAAGAAGAAGAAAAAAAATATCACCTTTGTCTTTTAGGCTCTTCTAACATATCGGAGTGACCCAGCCATGAGAAAAATGTTGACTCACCTGTATTTCTATATCATGCCTGTGTTTAACGTTGATGGATACCATTTTAGCTGGATCAATGTAAGTCACTTTGCTGTTCCAACTGAAAACCAAACCCACTGCCATCAGTTGGATTCTGACTCATAATAAAAGAATAAATCAATCATAGAAAAGGGTCAGAGAACAAAAAGGAGCCTTACAAGGCAGCCAGTTTGGTGATTTCAGAGCTGAAAAAGTTGCCTCCAACACTATTCTTTTCCAAATTTTCCATCACTTTTAACAGAAACTCAAGGGTGATGGTTTCACAGCTTGGTACTTGTAAGTAATGTCACTGAATAGTACGTGTAAAAATGTGGCATTGCGAAGGTATAAAGTTTTTACACTGGTATATATGAGAAGGCTTCAAAAACTTAATGGAAAATTGGAATGAAAAGATAATGGTGTTTTCTGAAGCCCCTTCACATGTGTATACATGTTTATATGTATGCTGTTGCTGTGTGCTGTTGAGGCGATTTAACACATACCAACTCTGTATAGGCATTCTGAGAGTGGCTAGTGGGTTTGAACTGTTGACCCTGTGGTTACCATTGCTCTCTCTGTAGCACCACACCAGCGCCCATACGTATATGTGTATATGGAGTCCTGGTGTGGCACTAGAGGATAGGTACCAGACTGCAAGGTTAGTTTGAACCACAAGCTTGGTGGGACCTGGGAAGTTGCTCCTGGGAAGCCCTATACAGGGTTGTTATGATTTGTAACCAAGTAAACAATACTTAGCAACAATATATATGCACACATATTTATGCACTTACATGTATATGAAGAAGTCTTCACTCCCTGCCCAATCAGAGCATTAACCACCTGATTTCCTTAGCATGCTTGGCTTTTGTATTGATTTCTTCTTAAACAAAGGGTTTAAGAGAAAAGCAGCCATGCCAAATAAAATATGAAAAATCACTCATTGAGTATAACCTATCCATTTTGTTGGTGTGGTGCTGTGGGTTAATGCACCAGACTGCAAAGCTGTTTGAACTGCAAGGTTGGCAGTTCAAGCTCACCAGCTGCTCCTTGGAAACTCTATACAGGGTCATTATGGGTCGGAAGCAACTCAACGGCACTTCACAACGACAACAATCCATTTTGTCAAGGAGCTCTAGTAGCGTAGTGGTTACGAATCGAGCGGCAAACCTCAAGGTCAGCAGTTCGAAACTATCAGCTGTTCCACGGGAGAAAGATGAAATCCGTAAAAATTTACAGCCTCAAAAACCCTGTACAGGGTCTCTATGAGTCGGAACCGACTCCATGGCACATAACAACAACATCAACATCCAATTTGTCTGTGAAGAAATGAGGCCAAACAAAGGTAAGAGATTGAAGAAATTAGAGAATGAACAGGGTCTCCACTGCTAATTCAGTCCTCTTCCTACTACCTGAATACACATATTCCCAGAGGCCCTCTCCCATTGGTAGTGTGATTCATTAACTAATGGAGCCTCTGAAAGGCATGTGAATAACCCTTTAAGTATTTTCACTGCCCCTGTTTCCTTAATTATGCCTAGGATCGATTTTGGAGGAAAACAAGGTCAAGGAACTCAAGGTTTCGCTGCCGCGGAGTTGATGCCAATCGGAACTGGAAAGTGAAATGGTGTCGTAAGTTTGGGCTAATTGTGATTTGGGCCATAAGGTTTCCCCAGGTTTTACTCTGAAAAACGATGAGCCTGTGAGGATCTAACACAAGACTGTTGTTTTTCTGTAGGTAAAAGTCTAATATAGAAAGACACAGATCTGTACGTGAGAGCTATAATTTGTCAAAGATAATGAAAGGGTTTTAAAAAAAAAATACATACAATCAAAGATCTAAATCGGTCAACTCAATCCTGAAAACTGAACATTTGAACAGAGATGGGAAAACAGAAAACTGAGGAATATTTATCATTCACAAAACTCAAACAGGAAGTGTGCTTGTGGTATAAATCTGGTTAAGTGTTTGCATCTTTTTACTAAGAGTAATGCTGATCCTGCCTTCTTCTGTCACTGGTGACCAAAGTCTGGAATGCCTTGTCTGTAATCTATCAATCTGTCAGTCATTCACTTATTGGCTACTCATGTTTCACTAATACTTACCTTTCAAGTAAAGGGAGAATGTCATTTTAAGGTGGGAAAACTTTAACAGGATCAAGAAGTAGGCAGGTAACGGGGGAAAATGAGAACATTAGCCATGACAATTAGACTTGCAGCAGGAGATAGGGAAGGGAAAAATATTAAAATGCAGTTGTAAAAAGCTGTCTTTTTGAAGAGTTCTTCCTTGACGTCCTGAAAATACAGGCCTTAATATAATGGAAAGCCATCCTGTTGTTCGATGCCATCAGCTGGTTCCAACTCATAGTGACCCTATGTTCAGTAAAACAGAAACCTAGCTGGTCCTGAACCATCCTCACTATCTTTCTCATATTTGAGCCCATTGTTGTAGCCACTGTGTCAATCCATCTTGTTGAACATTTTCCCCTCTTTTGCCAAACCTCTACTCTACCAAGCATGCCTTTCTCCAGGAATTGGTCCATCCTGATAATGTGTCCAAAATATATAGGACAAAGTCTCACCATCTTTGATTCTTAGGAGCATTCTGGCTTCACTTCTTTCAAGACAAGTTTTTTCACTCTTTCGGCAGTCCAACATCATAATTCAAAGGCATCAATTCTTCTAGGTCTTCGTTATTCAAACTTTGCATGCATTTGCTGTTGTTATGTGCCATTAAGTTGGTTCCAACACCAACTGACTCCAAGGCCATAAATCTTTACTGGAACAGAAAGCCTCATCTTTCTCCCATGGATAGGCTGGCAAATTCAAACTACTGACTTAGTTAGAAACCCCACTCATAACCCACTACACTATCAGGTCTCCTTCACATGCATATGAAATAACTGAAACTACCATGGCTTGGGTCAAACTGACATCTTTGTTCTTTAACACTTTAAAAAGGTCTTTTGAGGCAGCTGTGCCCAATGCAATATGCCATTTAATTTCATGATTGCTGCTTTCGTGGGTCTAAGTAAAATAAAATTCTTGACAACTTCCATCCTTTGTGGTTCCTTTGAAATGAGGGCTATCACAAGTTCGCTCATTGCATGCTGCTTTGGGTTATGTGCAAAGAGTTGATTCTTCTGTCCCCACCAGAATCAGAATAACTTGTCATGGATTCACTCTCCTTCCACACATCCTTCCAGGCCACCACCGTCCATCAGTATAGATACATTGATAGTTGCTCCTGACTCAGGGCAGCCCTATGTACAAGAGAAAGAAATGCTGTGTGATCTCGTGCCATCCTCACTAGCATTGGTATGCTCAAGTCCATTGTTGTAGTGACTGTGTATTTTGAGCATCTTCCAACCTAGTGAGCTTATCTTCCAGTGATATACTGAACAACATTTTGCTGTGATCCATAGGATTTTCATTAACTAATTTTCCAGAAATTGTTGATCAGAAACTTTTCTTCATAGTTTAACTTAGTATGCAAGTTCCGGTGAAACTTGTCCAACATGGGTATATGAAATACCCTGCTGGTATGTGAAATGCTGGTGACATCGCTTCTAGCAACACAGCAACACACAAACCACTACAGTATGACACACGAACAGCCAGATGGTGACCCAATCAATTAGAATTTTCAAATAAGATGAACTACCTTGGGCATAGCAGAAGAATATGGCTCTAAAAGACAAGTGTGACTTGATTCTACCAGTATTAATTCACTGCTCTTGGATATTTTATTTTATTTCATTTTATTTTATTTTATTTTATTTTATTTTATTTATTTATTTATTTTAGTGTATGTGCATTTAAAAAAATGTTTTATTGTGAATTATATGATCGTTTACATGAGAGAACTTTAGTTTTACATTCATTCTATTGTATATCATTTCATTACCATGGTTCCAATCCCCTCCATGCATCATCAACAAACCAAAGGGTATACCCTTCCAACCCACCTCCTATACTACCTCTCCCACCCCCCACCCCCAGTCTTCAGCACACAGACCCTCTCCCTCTCTGGATTAAAGTCCCCAGCCGCTTCATCCCTCCACGGCATTGTCTCTGCCTCCATCTCAGGCATTGCTGCTTCCCTGGGTAGGGTTCCACTCTAGGCTCCTCTCCGTTGATGGTCCTAGAGACCTCCGCTCCTAGACTGGAGAGTTAATCACTCCCTTCCTTGCTATAAAAGTCTACCTTTACATTTCCAACCCTCACACTCAGTCCTGATAACAATTATTCACTATTGTATTACAAGTGACCCATCTGCATTTCATTTCATCAGCTCCGCCTAGACAGATTGGATAGTCCTCACTAGAAATTCTTGAACATTTTATTTTTGACTTATGAAATTATTATCATAATCCCCACCTCATGGGTGCTATAAGGAGCTCTGGTAGCATAGTAGTTACGAATCGGGCTGCAAACCACAGTTCAATACTACCAGTCGCTCTGAGGGAGAAAGATGAGGGTTTCTGCTCCTGTAAAGATTTACAGCCTCGGAAACCCCATACAGGGTCACTATGAGTCGGAACTGACTCCACAGCACACAACAACAACAACAATTATTTGCTCAGCATACAGATTGAATACATATAGTGAAAGAATACGACCCTGGCACACACCTTTCCTAGTTTTAAACCATTCGGTGTTCTCTTGTTCTGTTGGAACAACTGCTTCTTGGTCTCTGCACAGGTTTCTCATGAGCACAATGAAGTATTTCTGAATACTCATACTTTGCGATGTTGTCCATAGCTCATCATGCTACATGTAGACTCCATGCTACAGTCAGTCAAAACAGTCTCATTCCCATCATGGAAAATGCTTATTTTCCATAAACAATAACATAACATAAACTGTGTTAGCATTTGAAGGGGTGGGGAGAAAAAGCACGGCATACATGCTATAAACTGCTGTTACTGAAGACTATTTGGATTTAGAAGTTTTCCTTACCCTGGACAGAGACAACAAAGATGCTCACATCAATGCCCCAATTTTTCTTTTTCCTAAATTTCCTTTTCCCCTCTCTGATGGAATCAGTTTGCATACTCATAGCTGTGTCCTGTCTGGTTAGCAGGTACCTGCCTTCACATGCTTGCCATACGTGTGCCTGTAGTCATCTGAGTGCATACACTGACTGAGTAATTGAGCTGAGTAACACTATAAGCCCAGCCCACTCGGCCAGTATAGATAGACTCTTGTTTATGCCTACTCCCTGTCTAGTAACAGGAGACTATCTTGATTCCCTTTCTTCTTCTTCCTTTACCTAAATTATTTGTTTCCATTCTACATACTCCTTCTTTGATTTCTTCATTTCAAAAACTCCCAAGTAGAATTCCTTTGATTCTTCCTTTTTTAATCATTTTCATTTTTCTTACAAGGTAGCTCTCAAGATATACAATGGATTATATCAAATATCAATTGCACAATGATCTTGATAGACAGCTGTAAGTGTTATGGAGATGCAAGTAGTCAGTGTGGGGCCCAGCTGTCATCCCCATGGTCACCAGAGCAGATTCAGCTGATCCAGCGTTGCCTGCCTGCCTCCCTCACAACTTTAGATACAGCCCTTCTCAGCTATGTGCTTGGTCAAAGAAACAGTCAAACACACAGAAAGAGCCACTCTTAGGTCATGGATAGGGAAGTAAGTGTGAAATTCCCTTTGTGAACTTCCAAATAAACACTGACAGTAGAAATGATATAAAAGGGTCCCTGGGTAGCACACATGGTTTGCATAGGACTGTTAACCTAGAGGTTGATGGTTCGAATCCATTCAGTGGTACCCCAGGAGATAGATCTGATGATCTGAAAAGATTACAGCCAAGCAAACCCTATGGAGCAGTTCTACTCTGTAACACATGGAGTCACCATGAGTAGGAATTAACTTCATGACAACTAACAACATGTTGTATAATATTAAGTAGAAAAGCACAGAAGTGGATTTCATAGTACAATTGATATAGAAATGGCCAATACCACTACAAATACTTGATTGTGAACTGGTAATAACAAGTGCTTCTTCCTCTGTAGTTGGTGAGTCCCAAACTGAAAGAGTAGTGCAGGAAACTGCTTACTACCACGGAAATTTGTAGAGCGCCATGTGATAGTTAATGGTTAGGCTTTAATGCACTCAGAGCAGAGTAAACAATGTAGTGAATACACATGGAAACACATACACCTTCCCAATCCTTCACAGCTCCAAGGATCTTCAGGCCATAGAGAGAATATCAATGTTCTGAATGTCCAAACTCACCGAGTCAAAGGAATACCACTGAGAATCAGAAATAAATACATAAATTTCACTTATAAGTCACTAGAGTTAATGAAGCCCATACTCCCTGCTGGGAGTATATATTCAAAGTCTTATAACTCAACAATAAAAAGACAACTGAACTGAAAAATGTTCGCAATATTTGATGAAACGTTTCTCCAAAAAGATATACAAAAGTCCCAAAAGTACAGGAAAAGATGTTAAGCATCATTAGTCATTGTTGTTGCTAAGTACTGCCAAGTCTGTTCCAGCTTATGGCAACCCTGTATAGGGTTTCTGAGAAGGGACTGGTGAGCTTGAACCACCGATCTTGCTGTTCAGGCCAACCTGCAGTTCATTAACCCACAGCACC